TTGTAATGGAATTGAACCCTAATCACATAATCCTCAAAGCAGGACGCAAGACAACTGGGAAAATAGGTACTCAACATTTGACGCGGAGAAAAACCCAACGTTGGAGAATGCGGGACGGAATTCAACTAGTTCAAATTAATCGGATGGCATGACTCGTCCTTGGAGGTATGGTCATTTTTATGTATAGTCACTTTTACTCATATTAAATGTACTGTTCAACCTTCAAACTAAATATATCCTCTATCAAATTTCAGTGATTGTTACGATACGATAAGTGACTTTTACGTCAGATCTTACAGATTATGCAGTTACATCATGACAAATCTACAGTCTTAATATTAGATCTATTATTAGAGCAGTATTAATAACGGTTAAGGTAATAATTCTACAAGTCCTCTACTCGGATATGAAGTATTTGGTATTTACATAAGTAACAACTTATTATGGTAGTAATCCTCTACCAGCTACGGAGATTTTGGTGAAGAGTGTTAAAAGAACCTATGGCTCAAATTCTGGATACCAATTACCTGGGTACATACAACGGTCAATTTGATCAAATGCAATTCAGGAACCAGATGACTCGGTTTCGATTTCAGTTCTTAATTCTATTACCATTGTGTACATTCTATATTATAGAGACTTAACCAAACAAACAGTCAGGCATGCATATTATGAACCTGAAGAGAAGACGTATAAACGGTTACAAAGATTTGAATCCTTATTATATTGTAGAGGTTGTGGTATTTGCTCCAAGTGATGATTCCCTTGTACTTGATTGTACGCTGATTGCGAATTCCAAACATAGTACGTTCACGTGTGCTCATTCAGTTGTACTTGCCTTAAAATGAGCTACTTCAGGGATTCTTATTAAAATGATATGAATGATTTCTATCATCATAGTGGCCTCATACGAAGTTACTCATGAACATAATTAGTTTCACCATAATATATATGAGGAAACTGTTTGAATTCCTCAGTGCTGGGTTTCATTTAGCCGTTTGGTTGAGTAAAATAATGTAGTTTCCAAGCATACGTAGCATCAAATTGATGCCAAGCAATTCAATGAATCCCTGAAAAGCCGAGACTAGTCTAGTAGCCAGCACCTTCTGTTGAGGGGACGAAAAACTTCAACCGAATAAGAACATAATCGGTAAAATAAGTAAATGAAAAAATATCGAAGACAGAACACGATCAGGCTTCCATAAGTTCTGATCTGCTCAATCAGCTATTTGTCGCGAATAGGTTATCATTGACCTGCAGATGCCATATAAACCAACATTTGATTTTCATCATTCAGTATTCGGCTTATAGTGGTAATCTCATGATAATTCGTACGAAGTTTGATATCATACTACTAATCTCTCAGTCTACAACACAGACATAGTGAAGCGTTTTATAGTTTTAGACCTCGGTAATGGAAGGTACGATATTAGTTATAATATTCGCTGACGTAACACATCCCCTGATGGTTTTTAAATGTGCTGCATCATATTTGGACAGTCACAGATGGCGCAATATATTCTCAGACTGAATGATCAGACTACGTACATGGCGTTTGCTAGCAGATGTAAAAATGTAGAATCATATGAGTTAGTTTAAAATCTAGTACAGACGATTATTCGTTTATAAAAGATGTGGGTTTAGGCACATTTCGCAATAAGTCATGATCTGTCACGATCATATGGAATTCCGTATCGTATGTATTGTCAGACTCATTCGAGAGCATATATGTCAAAGTTATGACATGAGAATCGAATCCCCAAAATCCAGATTCTAGGGGTCGATTTTCTCGGTTTTGAAACTACGGATTGGACAGATTCGGTCATGACAAATGACATGTATTAACGAAGTAAAACCTATGAATCTGTGTCTATAACAAGCAACTTAACATGTTCCGAATTTGTGACAATAATAAAAAAGCGCATATGTCGACAGTCTTAATTAGAATTGATACTTCATTTTTCTTGTTTGGTGACCAATCATTACCGAGTGTTTCTGGAGTAGCGCCATGTTTATTCTGCAGTCAAGTTCCGGATAAGACTTTGATGTACTATCCTAGCTCGTTTACTTCTATCACTTGTCCATGTGCTTTTTCTTCATCTTCGAAGAATAATTTCGAAAATTCTGAAGGTAAATGGTACATTTTTACAGCTCTCCGGAGCGATTTTCCAACATTTTGTTGCCAAAGTTTTACTTCATACAATGTAGTTTGTTTAATCCAGTATTTGGCAAGTCTGCATCTAGTTTGAATCACGTTGTGAGCTGGAAGAGTGTAAAAAACAACCCGTAAGAAGTAAAGACAATAGGAACAAAATTTAGCGTGAGCTATAAGTTTATTAAGCACATAAGATTCACATGTATTCGTTGATAAAGAGATATAGGCAAAAAATTGGGATATCCAATGAAAAGTCTTAAATTGAAAATGTTTTCTTAAAAACCTTACGACCCTAAACTTTCCCTATCTAAGGGTTGTGAACTAGAGATAGTCTGGGACAGGCTGAGGAGTGGTCTCTTCAGCTATTATGAGGATTGACTTAAGCTGAATAGAATACACTTCAGTGTCATATTACCTCAGTCAAAGACATACGATAGAGTCACCAAGGCCACGTTCCCGCTAATGGCACACGCTGCATAAGCAGAAAGCCCACAGAAATCATATGTCATAGCACTGATTATATAAACTTGAGAAATAGTCTGTTGCCGCAGAGGAACACCAGGTGATATGAAAAGTCGTCGGTTGTCTTTATAGCAACATATGAAGACCAAGCGCTATAATAGGAGGGATCGAAAACATGAACATTCGAATGGATCAAATTACACGAGTTTCTCTCAACATCAAGGACAACGAAGTGGGCAAGCAATGCATGACACCTTTCAGATATCAAAAGATACACAAAACAAGAGTCACGATATATATAAACACCCAATTCAAAGAAACACTACGAAGCAAGACCGAACAAACCGAGGCGATGAAAGCAAGCCAATCTTCTTCCAGTGTGAACGCCGACACCTGGTTAGAAGAGAATATGTGGGTTTTACACAGGTGCTTAAGACCAGAAACACAATCCAATCAAGGCGCTTTCGTAACTACTACACTCAGATGTCAGACAGATCATCGCGGCCAAAGACGTAGACATTTTCGTCAATATCAACGAACTGAATATAACCTTTAAAAGGTGATTCCGTAGTCGTCATATGAAAGTCAGTAAGGGCTCAGAAATGCGTAAGCATATGAGTGACGTCACGGTATGAGATGACGACGGGAAAACCTCAAACGTAGACCGCCTACTGTTAGACATCTGCCCCCAGTTGAAGGTCGTCATGTGAAAGTGCCAATCAGCAGTAGTGACCGCGGTACAGTCATATTCCATTCCATAACAAACGAGGTGCTTTAGAAGTACAAGGATACTTCTCACATTTTTCGCTTAAGAAAAGACTACAAATACATGAGTGAGTGTCTTCAAAATGCATATATTGTTGGAGGCCAACCATGGATGTACAGTGGGAGACCGCAACACATATTATTCAAAAGTATGGCCTGTGCAGTACTCTTATGATTGAAAGTATACCTATTAAATGAGTATCATATTTGAAGTGAGATACAGAACAGTTGATACGAACAAAAGAAAGCCTGAGATAAATGGGAAGCCTTTCTTAAAGATTCTGACTGTAGCCAGATTCAGTGCCAAAGTGAAGGGTGACAGAATATATTTACGTGTCAAGCTAGTAATTAAAACACGTGTTAGTATGAAATACGAACATAGGTTCATGGAAGAACGCAAATATACACGCAAAAAGGTTCGCGAACCGAAGGAGCATAACGGTGTGGAACGTTTTATTCTGGAGATAGAAGAAACCGTTAATTTCAAGGTTGAAATTTAGGATATCGGAATATCACGATATGGACATTTAGCCCCATGAGACTCAAACAACTTACGTCCCCCATCGAAATTTCCTTCCTGTTGTCTCCACAGAACGCGATATAGGAAAATTAACCGCACAACCCTTAAATGCCCGTTTAAACTACATTGAAGATGCGAGCAAAACAAACCCACATCTCTACGCAGAATCAGATTTATACTGTCACCCCAGAATTGTTTCAAACATCCTTTAGAACATGTACATGACCTCGCCTCGAAGCTTTCAATGTTGTTTTGTTGTCTACTCAAAACAGATATGAATGCCTTAGAACAGACCCAGAAATGACAAACGAAGTAGGTGATGGGGTGAGAAACAAATCCTACAGAAATGAGCTCCAATATTTGGAATTACTCTCATGGGATTATCAGAAAGTAAGAGGTGACCTGATAATGGCTCACGATACCAATTTCATCACATCACCCTTACGTGAGCACCCTACCAGAACCCCGCCATGGCGCCACTCAATACAGTGTCCGGAAAACCACACGCCGAGATGCAGGGACTCAGATACGAGCTCTCTTTTTTATCACAATTCGTTTTCCCTTTCACTGCTCTCCCAGACGAAGTGACCACCGGGCTCTTCGGTTGGTAGCTCTTAGACGAGGCCTAACCGATGGATTACGATCTCCCACCTAGACTATTTGGGCCTGATCCATATTTCGCAACTTATCTACCATTATTAGTACCACATAACTTCAGCCTATTCCAATCTCGAATATTGTCACGCATATTTACCTGTCATTCGTACATTTCGACCTTCTCTTATTGTTTAGATTACAATAAAATAACTTATTTAGTTATTTACTTTCAGAAATGGTCGTTTCCTCTTAGTTTTCGACTGCAAATCGTTTAATAATAACCTAACCGACTATGATTTATGTAATCGATCGCCTCTTTTATCACCTATAAGCCACTTCCGAAAACCTTGAGTCTCACGGAAATATTAGGAAGCGGAAAAGCGAAAAACTCAACTTCGTTATACTGGCTTATGATAAGGATATTAGACTTATTTGTGTATCGTTTTAGAATAGCATCAGAACGATGTTGTTACTATGTCAACATTATAGTCACAAATTTAAATGTTGAGGTCAAGCGATAGCCTGACACTGGAAAATTCATTGAACGCTTTTGAAAGCGAAGAGATACTTCAAGCTTTAGCAGTTGTCGGATTACTGAGTCAAGAGAAGCTTTATCTGGAGCTTACAAACGAAGCCATAAATTTCGCGAGAAAAGAAAAGTTTAGTTTTTCGCAATTATGCGCACTCGTTTCGACAATTAACAGGGTTTTGGAAGAACTTTCAAGTAGGGAGTTCAACGATAATAAGTAAAATCTTAGGTTCTCCATACGACGACATACAGAGTGTCCTAGATGTATCGGACAAAATTATGATGAGTTACTCTATTCAGGTAATGTGACGTAACTCTAAGTTTTACTGTAGAGGATTATCTCAACAGAGGCCACCCCACTGCATTGAATTATTTTCGATCGCTGATTCTTTAAAATGCGTTGAATTTCTCGTGGACTCATTGTTTAGACATTGGAGACTTTACAAGTTCGCCTTAGCTCCAACAGCACGCCTTGTACCACAGCTCATCTACGATACAAAAGGTGAGTCAGGGATTAATAATCGGCAATTGAAGTCCTAATATGCTATTTACAAATACTTCCTATAATCAACGTTCAGTTGTTTACCCGAAGATCTGTTAGTTGTGTCCCATGTATAAAAATCCTCGAAGGGATCGTAGCGAATACAGATTAAAGTTTTATTGATGAAATATAAAATCCATACGAATGTTTTTGAAATCTATAATTGTCTATTCAACTTCTGTTTGCAAGGTTCTCACTGACATTCATCATTGAAACAAAACAATATTAGGAAAATAGACTCTCTACTAAGGTTATAAACTTTATTAGTTTATATCGTTACTGTGCTTAAGCTTTATACAGCTTACAAATCGAACTTTAGCCACTGAATTTGAAACGACTCTAAGCTTCCAAACTCTTTGAAAATGAATTTTGCTATTGTAGATTTATCCCATGTGACATCATGTTTATGGATTTATTTTGGTCAGAAATTGTAAAAATGTTTTCAGATTGAAGATGTAGTGACCAATGCGTTTTAATCGGCTGACACTAAAACAATAGACTCGTGATCTAAAATAGCCCTTTTAGTATACAACATATTGAAATGTCTTGCTATTCAAACTTTCATTTAAATTCTCTTCAATTGTTTAAAACTTTTTGACAGATTATGAATCGGGAATTGTCGACTTGAAACCATCAGGTAAAATGAAAACGTGGTGAACCGAGTTGACGCCATTTTACTTTCTAGGAGCTGACTTATTATTCTCAATCTTAAAACATGCACTCGAAGATCAAATTGAAGTCAACAAACATGAAAATCAAATCGGTAATTGATTTGTGACGAATTGTTCTAAAAGGTATCCTCCTAATTCTTACATGTGGTACGTTACGTAATCACCAAAGCGAACGCTTGTAGAGAGAACTTACGAAAGCACTTACTGTTAATAAATGACTACATACACATCAAGCTTACTTCTTCGGAATCGGTTGATTATACTGGTAGAAGTCCCAAACTTACGTAGAAAGTATGTATAAAACTAAACTATGTTGTATTTCATGAAACAATTTCTATGATAGAAATTGTAAGGATACTATTTTGCGAGGTTCAAGGACTTAAAAAGATGTCGTTATGTATAATTCTAGTCTCTGTATATTCGTGATTGTTTTTCAGTTAGTTTGTGACAAAATTACAGTTACCACCAACGTCAAACAGATTAACAATTTTTTATTCTTTGTTAGAAAAGACGTAACTACAAGTGGAAATGTTCATACATTTACAGAAAATAGGAAAGCCTTCTGGTAAGACTTTTGAATAACACTTGGAAGTCAAGGAGGAAAGTGATGGTAGTCACAAGCAAGATCCTGTTCAGTATAGTTAAGAATATCAGGGAGCAATTAGGGTTCAAGAAAAAAAATCACAATTGGACTTTAAAAAACATAAAGTGAAAAGAAAATAGGTTTTATTTTTTTCGTGAGGGCTTAACTTGAGATAACGTTAACTTTACACATCCTGGGAAATTACGAGATACTTCTTCATCTTTCATTGCACGTATTAATTCTCGTTCTCTGTTGTTTGTGGATTTGTCCGACGTAAACTGGAACAACGCCATTTTCGATGCTAATTTTAGGCAAATAGAAGAAATAAAAAAATTCTATACCAATCATAAACATGAAACCATAATAAATGTCAGTCAGCTGCTCAACTAATTGAAATTTATCAAATCATTTTTGCTTTGTAGTAGCTTAATTCTATGTACCCATAGACATTTAACTGAACCCCTGGCAAATGTACATTTTCGTTTTGCTTGTCCGTGAACAGAGCGGTTAGACACGTCGTTCCTGCTGACTACGCCGTGCGTGATGTGATTGCTGTCTCAATTTTTGCTAATTATATGAAATACAATGTCCTATAAACCTTAGTAGTTGGCTTCTGACTTTACAATTCCTGACAGAAGTTGAATCAATAGTGTCTAGAACATCTGATGTTACGGAGTAACTCCAAACAGTAGTAATTTGGAGCGCGATTAGTCAAAAGATCCCTCAACCACTTCGATAAATTATAAGTCATCATATAAACATACTGTTAATAAGCTACCAACAGAGGCTATTCTAATTTTTTCTTTACAAGAAAACGATGCTCAGTAAACGAGATTTTGCAGATGCCATTTTGGAATTGCTGACATTGCATGAAGTATTACGTTGTATCGATTGAGAAGCACACTAGTTAAAATGATAGTTAACACACAGTAGCGTTTACATATTAAGTAATAAGTAGAAAATGATTTCCACGGTTTAAACAGTATATACTTTGATAATTGCATCAAATTAACATCAAAGTCCAAGAATATCATGGACTCCATGATGGATATACCAAGCTGCACAGAACAGAAATTACCTATGACTTTTGTAGACCAGTAACAGTAATGGAAAACGAAATAAAATTACGCTAGAGAATTTGTGGAGTATAATTTTGAAAATATTTTAGCGCAGTAAGAGAAAACAGGCCGAAATTATTGGTCGAGGAGAATATGTAATTTTAATTCTTTAATCATTTTCAAGCTGGAAAAATGATTATTTTAGTTGAGGATTGATAACCATTCTAAACAACAGATAATGATGGCAAAATAATTTGTAAAAAAGTGAACGGGTATACAGATGTTGTTTATCATACCTTTTCCTCGCTTTGTAGTTCCTGGGTTCAGTTTTACTCTGAACTTATACTTTAATAGAACTGAATAAGGAGCACAGACTGGAATAGCATACAATAGTAAATCATCATCATTGGGCTGACCAGTCAACGAATTTAACAATGAAGTTAAATCATCTTTCGATTCAACTGGCATATCTTCGTTATCATCATTATCATTAGTTTTTACATCATTAACTTCTAAAGATTTTAAATCCTCTTCACTTTCATCTGATTTGGCAGAATGATTGTCGATTTCACTGCTCGAATTACTGAATGATTTATTGCTATCACAGTCAGGTTGATTATTTTGTATACTATCTGAATTGTCAACAACTTGAGTATCCCGTACAGATTGTGGGACTTTAATTACATTTGACAAGTGATCACGTTCAAGAATTTGGTGATACTGACTTGGTTTGGCGTCGTCTCCCTATGATAAATATAATGGAGTTTGATGAGATGGACACTGCACATATATTATCATTAATATAACTAATAACAAGAAGGTTAAAGGGTTTGAAATTTATACTGATTTACAAGAAAATTTTGTAATGAATTAGAGGACTGCACTGACAAAACAGTGTACGACTTCACATAAAAGTACTGAAGTTCAAGATGCTGGCAATGGGTAGGGGTAAAATGAGAGAGAAAAATACAAACAAGGAATAAATAAACTATTCAGAATTCAAAAAAGTGATTAATGAACACGTCCGCCCTGTAGTGGTGAATTTTGTGAGCCGCCAATGACCTTTCTTATTTTAAAGAACCTCAGTTGGAAAGTATACGTAATTGATTTGTTAGGTTCTATGTTGCTTATGATTGACAAACTAATGTGCGCGGATACCATGAGGTGATTTGACCACACTTTTTTCAATCTACTAATATCAGTGGTTGTTAAACATTTGTAATACATATCACAGCCAGTACATTTGGCACAGTAGTACAGTGAATGAGTTGGCTCATGTAACTGTAGCTCTGAATTTTGCCTCAACACTTCATATTCAGTTTAACTTATGGCATTGATGTTTGGAACATAGTTATGATCGGATACCTATAACTCTGCCGTCACATGTCTTCAATAAGGTAAATATTATACAACATTAAGGAAGAACAGATTACATTCCCATGCAATAAACTTTTGTTTCCTGACAATACCAACAATTAAGGTGTCAGCAGTTGCGAGTAATTTTTGTCTGTTATGGAGTTTAAGTGAAATCGAGCAATCTATAACAAAACTGGTTGAGTACTCAGAATAACAGGGGAAAATAAATACTGGTGCAATAAATTATAATTTAGTGTTTCGAATAATGACTGTCAAACTAATTTACAAATACTTGATATTGTTTTATTTGAATCTTCCCATTGATGTTTTAGGACTGAAGTTGATCAGTCTCTTATTGGCAAGGCAATATCGAGGCATACGCACAGTATGCACATATGCCAATAAGAGACTGATCAACTTCAGTCCTAAAACATCAATGGGAAGATTCAAATAAAACAATATCAAGTGAATTAAACTTCACCCCATTGCACAAGCAAGTGGCTATCAGGACTCAGTAGCTAAGTGGATAACGCGATGGCGTTTGAAGCGAACGGTACTGAGTTCGAGTCCCAGAGTGAACATCAACTCTGAGATGCAGGTACATCCAGCTGACGAGTCCCAAACAGGACGAAACGCGCGTCCTGGATTTCACTGCTAGCCACTATCCATCTCGGCTTATAATAATTTACAAATAGTACGACGAGGATGAATCGACATGAAAACAGTAGTAAAAGTGTTGAAGAAAATTGATTTGTAATGAATATTGTTAAGACATTTGCGAAAATATAAACAACAGGAGTATCTGGGATGTCACATATGAGTGACGCTTTGACGGTGTAATTAATGAAGGTTCGCATGACTTAGAATTTAATTGAATGTATTTGATAACCATAAATATAAATAAAACCGTAGTTATGAATAAAGCATTCACAAGAGGTGCTAAAAACGTGCCAGTGCTGTAATAAAAATACCGAATGATATTTAAGGAAGACTCTTATGAAAATTCTATGTAATATGATTTTCTTACCTGGAGTATTTTCATACGAAGATTTCTTTCTTCGTCATCTTGTTCGTTATATTTTTGTTTAATTTTTTTTAGCTTAGCTTTCTGACCACGTTTTAAAACCGGTTGACCAGCTGATGGTAATAATGGCTCATTGAGTTTCTTGTTTACTTCAATGGTTTCTTTATTTAAATTTGTTTTCTTGGTTGGTTTCGATTTGTCAACCTTTTGACCCCTTGTCTTAACTTTTTTAAAAGGATTTTCTGATAAAATCTCCGATACATCAGGATCTTTATGTCTAAAGCGAAATATAACAATCAAGGTTAATTTTAAATACGGTTTAAAGAAAATAAAATTTTAAAAAGTAGTGACATGTAAAAAGATTTCAGTTCATATATTAAAAAGTTTATGAGAATGAACTTGTAGTGACTCACTTTTATCACGAGAACACGATTGGTTTATTAAAAACAATTATTATTATAACCAATTGTACCAGTGACTGTTTTAATGTGCTTTTGCTTAATTGTGCTAAAAAGCATCCATTATTCACACACTTTGATTGTGACTTCGCGCCGATTCGGTTACGTTCTGTAACCAAGCTTGTATCCTGGCACGATCTCGGTATCCTTCCGATACCACGAGATCGCCAGCAAATATATCTCGACTTGGTCCACTAACTGCCTTCTGATATTTGGCTTCCGGGGGATTTTATGGAGTCATTTGGCACGCGTTTCTTGGTAGCAGTGTTCATAGTCCATTACGACTCGACGCCACGCTACAAACTAATTTTCCAGTTACTGGAAACCTATCAGGAACTACATACGTATTTGTGTACCAGGTTATAAGTGTTAATCATCGGGCAGTAGCAAATAATGTTGCAAATGAGCCAGGCTACCCGCTTGCCGAGAAAATTGACGAATTAATTCATGAAGGAATATTAATGTTTAAGAGTTTTGTATATCGAGAACTATTTTTTAATGATTAAGTAGACAACCAAGTGAATCATGGATAGATTGACTATCAAAGAATACTACATGACCAAGTTGTGGCCGACGTTAAATACATCACATACAAAGGGGAATCTAACGAGACAAATTCAACAACGAAAATAATAAAAGCGTGAATATGAACGGATAATAATGAAATGTTTTTGAGGTATAAAGAGTTTTCACAGTTAGGTACTACGTAAGTAAAACGCTCAGATTCCACCACTACAAGACATCCAA